GCACTCACGTGCACACACACGCACACGCACGCACGTGCACACACACGCACACGCACGCACGTGCACACACACGCACACACGCATGCACGTGCGTGCACACACACACACAACTCCCCCTAAGAGCCACTTGATCCAGACCAAATAAAGTTCCTCCAACCTTGCTAGGTCATTCTTAGCCAGGAAAAATGAACACTTGCTGGAGAATAAAGAAATAAGGGAAAAAGAAACTGATATCTATCATGACTTCAGAAAAAACTAATGCAATAATAACAATAACATTATTCCAAATTTTGAACACTAATACAGAAATAACAAAGACATAAAACTCAGAATAACAATTTAATTCAGTACACATTATAAACTCCTTCCATATATTATATAATTGGCCTTTTTTCTAAGGAATTCACAGTTATTTCTTTCAGAAATAAAAAGTATGAAAAGTATTATTCACAAAAGTACCAAAGGGTATCACTCATTTACAAAAATTTACAGTTTAGTTAATATACGAGGAATCCACAGTCATAACAAGTTCAAATGCCACATGATGCATTACATTATTTACAGAGAAGTCATTTCCTTGATTTATTTCCAGACAGCTACAATACTTTGCAAATTAACTCACATTGACACCTGAAAAGATACACAATCAATTGGTTTAATCAGACCCACACTCTCTCCACTATCACATATTTCGATGACCAAACCCGCACAAACATTTATCACTGGCTTCCACCATGGTGGAGTGAAGGATAGAGAAGAAGGGGAAGGTAGGTGATTTTATTTCCCAGCCCCAAGTAAAATACCCAAATCTTTCCAAATCAAACTACATTTCACCCTATGTAACCCGAAATAAAACATCTTACTACATTGCCTATACCTAATTCAGCATAATATAAAGCTCAGAAACTGACCCTAAATGACACCTACAATATGATTAAACTATGAATATAAATTCTGGTAGCATCCTAATAAACTGGGATAGAGGATACACAAAAAGTAGATCAAAAAATTGGGAAAGCTCTTACCTCCGCAACTTGAATATTGACGGAATCAGGGACCTCTCTCTGGAGCAAAACAATGCCAGCTTTTCTCACAACCTCCAGATCCTCATCAGAGAACTGCTCAGGCCAAGAGCTCATGTTTGCCCCACCAACAATGATAATAGAGTTCTGCCCATCAGACTGTAGCATCACCACAGCATGCCCAGTGGGCACACCAGTCAAACTCTTCACATAATCCATGCGGACACCACAATCACCCTGCAAAGCCTCGGTGATCAGCTTTCCATGGGCATCTTCTCCAACCTGCCCCACAAAGTATGTTGGGTATGAAAGCTTGCCGCCACATGCAGCCTGGTTGGCTCCCTTGCCTCCTGCAAGAGTCTGCCCACTCTTGGCTGAAATAGTCTCACCTTCCTTGGGCAATCTGTCGATTTCCACATAGATATCTGCATTAGCGGATCCGACAACCACCAGTGGTGGTGGATTGTTTGGGTTGTGGGTTATTGGGTTCAAGTTGTTTTTGGATGGATTGACTGAAAATGAAAGAAAAGGGTGTGTAATGGCGGATGCGTTTTGTGGGTTGGTGTTGAAAATGAATTGAAGTGGACTGGTGTTTACTTGCTTTTTTAATCTGAATTGGGTATTTGGGCACCAATTGTTTGATGGTGAAAGGGAAATATTTTTCATCTTTCTTCTGCTCGGTATTAGATCTGTCTGACAATATTTTCGTTATGACAAAAGACCTCCTTTCTTTTATTTTTTTTTCCACCGATGAAGTGCAGTGGGAGTCTTCTCAGTTTCGGCTAGCAGCAAGCAAGCCTGGGAATACACGTCAACAGTTATGCAGTTTATTTGTTTGATCCATTTACTGCTGCTTGGATTCAATCTTTTACCCTAGTATTCAAATTAAAAGATTTTAAAGTAAATTTAATCAATTTAATTAATACTATAATGAATTATCTATTATTTTGAACTGATTTTATTTGAGAATTGAATATATCGAGTATGCTTATGAAAAACAAATCTAATTATATGGGTGTCTGTAAAATTAATTTTTTTTCTCTATAATACTAATTAATAGTGGTTTTTTTATCACAATAAGATAAAACTAAAATTTTATTAAAAAAATAATTATGAATCTCATGAAAAAAACGTATGAATTGAGTAATGTGCAAGAGCATTAAAATAAATAAATGAATTTAAGAGATAAAAAGGGAATTAAAATACACACACAAAAAAAACTAATCCAATCCAAAATGATATAAGAAAATACAATGACTTGAATTAAATTAACAATTATGTGCCCGTGATATATTTATAAAATAATTATTTTAATAATATTTAAATTTCTGATTTTTAAATAAAACACAATGGTATTATCCATTAATCGAGGCGATGTTGTCTGCGTGGCCTACACAAAAACCAATTCTATCTACTCTGCCCCCCTGTACGCCACGTGTAAACCCCAAATATTCTGATGGGATCCAACTTACTGGAGGCTGATCGCCGTGCACTGTCCATATCCCCACATGATAACGTCACTGTTGATCATCAATGAAATCAACTGCTCTGATTTTAGAAATCACTTGAATCTTTTCCTTTTTTTTTTTTTTTCAAACCTTGTTAAATTATCTGCTTGAAAATATTCATTCAAGTCGGCCATGGCTTCTCGTAATTTAAGCGTACCAACAGCAACACTCATTTCTTCTTCGACATCGTGCATCGACTCTGGAATCAAATCCAGTTCCTTTGTACTAACAAGATTTCCTCCTCTTCAGAAGCGCGCCAGTCTCTTCTCCTGTATTCGATCAATGGGCTCCTCTGCTTCTTCTCAGAAACCAGATAGCGTCCAAGGTCTCTTTCTCTCTTTTTCTTTTTCTCTACACACATACATATACGTGATAGACTACCTTTCAACTTTTGATGATTGGCCGAATTGTCTCCCTAATTGCTTCTACGACATGTTCGTTGGTGTTTTCTGTGTTTGCTGTGTATAATAATCTAGGCAGGTTAACAATTTAATTTAGTAGAAGTTAGGAACAATATTGAATTTTAATTAACTAGAAGAATCAACGAATTAATCAATTAAGAGTTGCTCCAGGAAGATGATATTTTATCGTTCTGAGAAGAAGGAACTAGTACAAGATAGTGAAGAGAATAGAGCTAACTGAGTGAAAATGAGAGAAGAAATTGCAGGCGGAGGAAAAGAGCAGAGACGAATATTCCGAAGGAGGGAATTCAGTAAATTGTATTGTTCAATCAATTACCACATAGTGTGGCCATATGTAGCTCCTAATCATATGTCTAATTCTGACAACCTTACTTGCAGTCCTATCATAAGATGTTATATACTATATCTGAAACAAAATCATGATTCCAACCAACTCTTGATTATTAGGTAAATTTCTTTACCTCATACTAGAAGGTTTCTGGTGTTCACAACCTAAGTAATGCAGAAGAAAGAACAAATTGTCTGCATTAAAGAAGTTCATGGTCAAAGTGGATTCATATTTATGCAAAGTCGCCTACTATTGAAATGTAATACTACTATTACATTCTACTGTACTTTTAATAATTTTAGAATTTTGGTGTTATTCATATTTACTTTTCTATTCGTATTAGTAATATTATTTTCAAAGTTTATTAGTATTAGTATCTCTTAGTTTATTTGTTAAGCATTTGTAATATGAATTATTTAGGAAGTATTATGAATATTACTTTCAAACTCTATTAGTATTTCGTAGTTTATTAGTTAATAAAAGCATCATTTTAGTGAGTTGGATGAATGAAATGCTTCTCCTTGTGTCACTCCTTTGTTGCTTCAAATAATGCCCAAGGGCTGTTGAAATATCCTTTTCTGCCCAATTATAGTCATTTTCCATTCTTAACCAAAAATCTAAATTGCTAAATCCTATATGGAGTCCTATCAAACATCTAGTGAGTTATACTGAATTTATGATTTGTATAAACTGAGAACATATCTTTACTCTCCGTGTAATTTTAATTTCAAACTTACATCTTGCCCGGTCGGGATTTTTTTTTTGGGCTCTGAACTCATTGTTGTCCAACATTTGAACTGGTATTGAGCTATTAAGGATTTAGTTTCCTTGTACAGATGCTGGCAAGATTGACTATGCTTCTTGGACTGATGATGAATGGAAGAAGCGGCTTACAGGGGAACAGTTCTATATCACCCGACAGAAGGGGACGGAGAGGGCTTTCACTGGGTATGATTCCCAAGTCATATTTATGGGCCAATTATAGGTGTAGCTTGTTAAAGATTTTTTTTGTACGTAAAACTGAACTAGAGGATTGCACCCCAAACAGCTCACTTCATTCATATGTATAAGTGTATTGAAAACGAAAAATTCTGTAGCTCAAAACTGCAGGGGTTGCAGGATCTTGTTTCAGGTTACCAAAAGCACACTTAACTGAATTGAAATTGTATCCTTCTGTTTACCTAGGGATAACTGAGTTGCTTTCTCTATTGATATGTAATGGCAAAATGGCATGCGAGAATTTTGTGGTAGCTTTTGCATCATATATATCTGGGATATTTGGTGCATGGGATTAGTTTATGGCAACAAATTTTTCATCACTGTGGCTCTAAACTATAAGTTTGAGGAAGTGCAAAAAAGCAGTACACTTTCCTTTAGTCCCAGATTAGCAAGCATTTGTAAGGACATTAAAACTCTATGACTGGAGTATTGAACCCATGGTTATCGAAAAATCTTGTCGGGATTGTTTATGGGGTTATGTTCAGGATCAGGCAGATGGTGATTTATGTGGCAATTGTTTGTCTTGCAATGACCATAAACCTGCTAGTGTGGTATGGAGGTATGTGCATGGAATGTGGATGGATCTCATCCGGTAAAGCCCCATAAATTTCTGATTCTTCTGATGGATGCACTCGTACATTTATTTCTTCATCATTCAGCTATGAATCATTTTTCTTAAGCATTTGTTCTTTAACCTATGATTCGACCTGAGTAACCACTGATAGAAAATTTTTAGTTTCTCTACCAATGATTTGTTTGATCTGCTATAACATCCACTATTTCTCTAGGAATACTGGAACACCAAAACCCCTGGAAACATACCATTGCATATGCTGTGACACTCCTCTTTTTGAGTAAGTCATATTTCCTTCCTGTTTACTTATTCTTGTTTATGTTAACTAGGAAACTCCTGCTGCACAACATTACTGTAATCTGATTAATTCTGAACTGTTCTCTAGATCCTCAACCAAATTTGACAGTGGAACTGGCTGGCCATCTTATTATGAACCTGTTGGCAACAATGTGAAGTCTAAGCTGGATCTCTCAATAATTTTCATGCCGCGACAGGAAGTTCTTTGTTCTGTTTGTGATGCTCATCTTGGCCATGTATTTGATGACGGTCCACCGCCGACAGGGAAACGATATTGCATCAACAGGTAATTGTTTTTCCCCTATTTTCTGGCTTCATTTTTTAACTGTTTACTTGAATTTATATTGACTTAATTCTCATTACTAGTGCTGCCCTGAGACTGAAACCGAAATCAAAGTAGCAAAGATTGTCAAGGTTCTTTGAGAGAACCCTTTGATGTTGGATTAGCAGCATTGTACTGGTCCAACCTTTGGGTAGTAAATTCAAGTAATATATAACTGTTGAGAATACCATGATTATCATTTAATCATTAGGGTATTTGAGTGGGTTCTCACATGGTGCCTCCTGATTATTCTTAGTGAACTTGCGTAGCTAGTGATGTGTGAAAAAAAAAAAAAAAAAAATTGTTGTTACAGCCCACTCCAGTCGTATGGGTTCTTTCATAGTTTTGTTCGTATGTTTAGTTTAAAAGAAAAAAAATGAGAAAACGGGGAGAAAAAAGGAGAAGAAAATAGTTGATTTTATTGTGTACCCTATTTTCAAGTAACGTATAAAAAACTTGTATTTTTTAGGGAAACTTGTATGATTATTTCTTAAATGATAAATAATAAATTAGAATTTAGTTTAAAAAATATGTAAGCAAAGGGTATAGATCCCTGGTTGAGTTATTAGGGCTAGGGATATTTTGGGATACTCCAATTATACTTAAAACAACACTTCAAAAAAAAAAAAAAAAAAAAGGGATATGGTATATGGTGGCATAAAAAAGGAGCAAGAAAAGAAAGGTAAAAAATAAATAAATAAATAAATAAAATTTTATTCGTAACTACTAATGCACAATTAGCGAAAGTGTCGAAGTAGCAACAAATTGGACTATTTTTGACTGAATAAATTTTTATGTCAGATGTTATATTACAATATAATTTATAAAAAATATTTTATTTTTTTTGAGATAATAACAACTTAAAAATCAACAACATCAAATAATAAATAATAATTTTTTTCTCCAATTGGGCGACGTCTCCTTTCCCTCTTCCCCTCAGTCATTTGCAAGCTTCCATGGAAACTCAAAAAAAAAAAAAAAAGGCAGAAGGATTAATATGAATATTTAAAAATAATATAATAATTAATTAGTGTCCAATAAAAAATATTGAATAAATTTTCAAAAAATTAAGGTATTTTAACTTTATATATATATATATATATAATTATGAGTTTGAGTGTAAGAATATTTTTTAATAAAAAATTAATTGTATTATTTTTTTTTTCAAAAAAAAAAAAAAGAAGACAATTGACGGTATAAGATATGTTTTTCATCAAAAAGCTTAACAGATAAAAATTCACAAACTTACAATAAACACTTTTTTGGGATGATAATTACAGAAAATAATAATAATAATAATAATAATAATAAGAAGAAAGAAAATGGTCCCTCAACTGTCAAGCCTTGAGCCTGGACGACGTGTTGATGCAGTCAAGCCTTTCAACCACACTCTCATGGTCCCTCCATCAACAATGCATGTGCTTTTGATTATTACTTGTTCCCTACCTCAGCATATACTTACATATACACATACATATACATACATATATGTAGATATTAAATATCATAACAAGCCAACACTGACAACAGTTTCCTTCGTACTACAGTTTACATTATGTGCATGTGATGCATTTATCCGTATGTGCATCTATATACACATATATATATATATGTGTGTGTGTGTAGAAAGAGAGAAAAATATTCATTTTATATATATGTTAGCCTCTCGATTATGGAATTAGATAACTTCCATATGTTATGTGTTCTCATATATTCAGAGAGAGAGAGAGAGAACTATATATCCATGCATGTTATAAATGGAGACCTCCCAAAATTAAAAAATATATTTACAGTTTTGCCTCTCCGATATCTGTCGATAAATTTACGTTTCCTCTCTGCTGACATCTATCGTGCATGAAGCAAATGGCTTTACTTTGCATACATATACATATACATATACATATATGTGTGTATATATATATATATATCTTGAGACACAAAAAAGAAAAAAAAAAGAAAGATATGGATAGTAAATTCCAGGAGGAGACAGGGAGAGGAGAGTGGAATGAATATTGCGGCTCAAACTTGCTCTTCAATTTTCCAACATGCCTCTCCCTTCCACTCATGACCGCTGACTTTGACCAAGGGACTTGGTTACACACTCTGGTCTTTATTATTAACACCATAATTTAATTATTAAAAATTCTTAAATTTTATTTAAATATTATAAAATTAAACTATTTTTATGAGCTTACGAACTTGTTGATATGAACTTATTATTTTTTTATAAAATAAAATTTAAATTTAATTTATCAGTAGTATTTCGATATCTAAATAGTAATGAATTTTATCTTAATAATTATATATGTATATATATGTACATCGGATATTATGTGTATAAAATTTTAAAAAAGAAAGATCTTAAAATTATTTTAAATTATTAAAATTATTTATTATTTTATCTTTAAGCTTAATTTTTTTAAAAAAAATCTTATATTAATCAAATTTCTTCAATCCCAAACTATAGCAGACCTTAAATTTCATTTTTCATATACTTAAATTTAAAATTGTAAAAATTTAGATACCCACAAAGATAATTAGTAAACTACAATAGTTTTAAAAGTAAAATTAGTGATTAATAGTAATATTGAATGAAAATTACAACTTCTTTAGTGGTCACATTCTTCACAGGTTAATTATAATTCAATTAACCAGATAATTTAATAAATAATCATAAAATATATTCTTGATATTAATTGTTAATATCGAATTTTATAGTGACTTGATAATAGAAAAATTTCTTTACTTAGTTATTATATGTCATCTTGATGTCATCTATATTATATCTTCTCATATATTATATTATATTATATTTATATTTATTGTGTTAGATATATTAAAGGATACTTTAGATAATCTGATTTATTAAGCACTATATTATTGTTTTAGAATAACGTGATACATATAGTTCTTGCATTTAAGTGTTTAAAACTGAGATCTCTAATCTAATTGAGAATTATAGATAACTCTTGATGAGATGTAAAACGTGATGATTATTAGATAAAATTTATGCACCATGGCTCAATGAGATGTAAGACCAGGTGTGGTGATCAATGAGGCCAAGTTTTTGGCCTGAGACATCAAGGGTTTGTGTGGCCGAAACTCAGTATGTTCTGAAACCTGTCTTTTTTTCTTCTTGGGATAAAATTTTTGGTCCCTTCAGAAAGACTTGTGCAGCCACAGAACGTTGGCTTTTCTCCACATTTCACCTTTTTGAATTTGTACGGTCAAGACAAGACAAATTCTTTCTGAACATTTAAGCCCAAATTAGTTAAAACCAAAGTAATCTTCTGTTCTTTTCTGAAGATCTTACATATGTGAGCTGTGTTACAGTATATGCATGTATATATATATATATGAGTGTGTGTGTGTAATTTATTTAAAATAGAAAAAAGATTTGGTTAATTAATATGCCTTAAATTCATGGTATCTGCAAGCAGCAACTATATATATATATCTCTGATAAAGTTAAATGGGTTCATGCTAGAATTATTAGATTCAGTTAATACTTCTGAAAATATACTTACCCTGTCTTTTTAAAAAAGAAAAAAGAAAAAACCATTAGAGCGACTGATTAATCAGCCTAATATAAAAAAGTATGTGGTGCTTTTTGTCATATTCTTGCCTCAAAAAGAGAAATCAATTTCGAAGGACAGGCATAAAGATTTCATGAAAGGCATATGCTTAAAGGCATTGATTGTTGCTCAACTTTGTGAGCCCACATGGTAACCGACCAAATGAAAGCTACAACCCAATCCATTCATATGTAATAATAATAATAATATATATGTACTCTTTCATGTATACATACATATATATATGTATCTAGTCACTTCATCTTCAAACTTGTATAAATTCATCCCACTACTCCTCGTTTTAGTAACCCATCTTTCACTCTCCTAATCGTCCACAGCTTGCTTATCCTTATTTTCTACATATATATATCTGTATGTACACATACACATATATATATATATATTAATTCTCATTTTTCATGTCAACCTTCTGTTATCATTGCTCTAATTTCTTCTGAAACTTCGCAATAATAAACAAAATGGCCAAGGTGCAGGCTGCAAGGATCATAACAGAAGTTGCTCCACCAAAGTTTATCCCGGTGGCCAGGCGGCCGCTGAGGAAAATGTTGACTACCATTATGGAGGAAGAAAAGGATTATACTGACAGCTTATCATCTTTATCTTCTTCATTTTCTGGCTCGTCCGCTGCATCCACGCTGCAGCTTACCAGAAAGATAGAGAGATCATTCCTCCTGAACAAATAGTAGGATAATAATATTAATCAAAATCCCACCTCAGCATTTCTTTTGTCTGCATGAATAAAAGAACCAATGATGAGATTTATATGCTGATCATGGTTTCAGTAGTTGAGCAGATTATGAAGATTAAATAAATAGTATAGGGAGAAACAGCAAAGTGATTATATATGTTGTTTTTGCCTTGCTTCATGTTTGTTTACATTTATTACTTCTTTCTTTTTGTTTGGGTTTGTAAAATTTTTGACCTCTTCAGAGTGTAGAATCGGCAGTTGAATTCCTTTTTTAGCCAGCATTGGCATTATGATTAATTATTTCTCTTCTCCTTTTAGCTTCTTGTATACATCTTTATCTTCTTCTTCTATCTAACCAGATGCAGGTTAATACTCTTAACAACCCAATGTTTCTTTTAAAGTAAAAATATATACATCTCATAAATAGATGATATGTACGCACCATGAGGATAAACAGGAGTATACAGTTCAACTCTAACCCTTAACTTTTTATTGATTGAGGGACATATCATCCATCCATTCAATGACTTGTCCATAATGTAATATTTTTTGTTAAGGTGAATTTCACACAAGTACAAATCTTGGAGTAATTATATATAAGATACTCCTTTTTATTATGGTAGACTGTTTAGGGAATAACGTCAAGTTTACAGAGAAGTTTTCCACCATGCTTAAAGGACCTAGAAAAAACAGAGCATACCCAGAAACCAGAATGACTAGTAGTCATCTCCCACAGTTTATACACCTAAAAAAGCCCCTTAATTTACTGTTATTCAAACTTGCTTCTTAAGCTCCAGAAAAAAGTTATGAACCTTATGCTGATCAGGCAGGTACTTGGCCACGGTCTCCCGCTTCATGCATCTCTCAGCCCATGCCACAAGCTTAGGGCACTCTTCTACAAACCTAAGATTCCCAAAGGTCTCCCATGCATAAAACCAGCTATAGTAGGGGATGAGTGCTATATCCACAATCCCAAAACTCTCTCCTCCAAAATATGTCTTCTCTCCCAATTCTCTTTCCAGCACCATGAACGATTCCATCAGCTCTTTCTTTGCAGTTTCTTGAACATCCCCAGTAGCTTCGCACACCGGCCGCCCAGTCGAGTAGATCTGAATATATATCATCAAAGAATTAATTTTTATATATGGGTACTTTAAAAGACAACTCCTTTACATGCCTTGTTTCAGAAATGTTATAATTTGAAGTCACTGAACTTGAAAACTACTTTTTGGTTCAGTTTCCCCAAGATTTTCTTTTTCTTGGCAATCAGACAATAAGGAAATGGTGGGTAGAAAAATAGAAGAAAGGGTTGAGTAAAGCAATCACCTTTTTGTCAATATAGTCAGCCCAGAACCTTGCATTAGCCCTCTCAAAAGGATCATCAGGTAACAGACGAGATTTATGATTCCAGACCTCATCAATATACTGTATTATGTTGAGTGATTCACACACAGCCTTCCCCTTGTGGATCAAAACAGGAATCTTCTTATGGACAGGGTTCATCTTTAGAAGCAAATCACTCTTGTTTCTCAAATCCTCTTCTCTCCAATCGAATTCCACTCCCTTCTCTGCCAGGGCTATCCTCACCCTCACCCCAAATGGACTCAACCCCAAGTCCAATACCACAACGTCTTCCCCCATTGTTAATACCCTTTTTTGTACGACTCTTAATTTGGACTAGTTTCTCGGTTTGATTTGTGAATAGCAGCTTACACGTTGTGTGTATATATATAGAGCAGAGATATGATTAGAGTTGTGGAAACCATATACGTTAGTGCAATTTTCTTGGAGCATTTTCAGATGCTTGTTGTAAGTGCTTACGCACGTAAAACACATTTTTCTCCGATGTTGTCTTTAGGTTTAGAAGCGGTGTCTTTTGGTAGTGTCTGAACCTTGGGATGTCAGTGCTTGCGTCAGAAGTTGGATTTTGAACAAGGATATGTTTCTTCACGCGATCTTTAAGGATATGTTTCTTCACAACTTTTGACCGTTTGGTATCATTGATTTACACTAAATAACTAATTATTGAAAAGATTTGGGTTTGAATTTAAGTTATTAAGAGCAAAGGCTTTAATCAAATGAATTCCTAATAGTACTGATATAAAATCCAAGCATTTCGGCGTCCATATTTTTTTAACTTCTTAATTTGTCTACACTTGATTCTGCCATTTGGACAGCTTCTAAATTCTCCTGCAAGCTAACCCATTTCCATTTTGATAATTTGACTGGTGACTGATCATTCACAAATACAAAACATTCAGGCAAATTTGGGCAAGTCCAAACCACCACAACACCTCTCCTCTCCTTGTAAAAAAAATACCATAAAGGTAAGTGTCGATTTACATCAAAGGGCTAAAAGGGTAAGCATGCAGGCGTGCCATAAAATGAAGGAATTTGTGCCAAGGTATATAGTTTGATGGAAATCAAAAGGCAAGTATATATGGAACTAGAGAATAATAAGAAGGCAAGAAGGGTACAACCATGTCAATTTTTCAGATGGATAAACTCAATTACATCATATATCCACAAGGTACTATCCGACCACATTTTGATGGAAAAATTGTAATGCATCCATAAAATGAGGGAATTTGTATACTACCAATACTGCAAAAAGAGATATGTTACAAAATGAATAAGATTCCAGACTCTCTCTCTGCCAAAACCCTAAGCCTTGAGGGATGCAATTTTCAGCAATGCTTGAATCTTGAAAATGCTCATCTCAGGACCAACAATCCAGCACCTATGAGTATAACAGTTGCCAAGAAGATCAAACCGACAAAGTATCATGTCCTTGCCAGCAGTTGCTTAAAACTTGGGATGAGATTCCCATGTTCTCTCTCAAGAAATGTAACCTCCTTGATACAACATCAATTAATGATACAGATTATACACCATGGCGCACCAGCAACATTTGTCAGGAGACTGTAGAAAATATAGACAGTAACGGCAATCTTTATGTGCCTAGCCACATGATATCAGTATTAGAATAGTGCATTCATAAATATTGCTTCCATACATACCATTTAAGTCGATCCAGAATGCAGAAAGTCTTGTTTCTCCTGGCTAAATGACCGTAGCTGTTTTATAAGGTTTGCTTTCAGTGATTCTGGTATCTGTGAAGTGAAAGTCGATTTTGCATCTGCTATCAACTTTTTCCTGCATTGCAGTGGCAGAAAAAGAAATCAATAATTTGCGACACCCTTGTTCTTGTTTAAGGGTCATCCCTCTCTTTAGAGAAGAATATTGGGGACCTTCTAGTCCCAGATATTCCAACTAACTTGTAACCATTGTTTTGTAAAGCAGTGATAGTTGGAAATCAGTCATAGGTGACTTGATTTCAGCGCTTTTTCCGTTAAGCTTCAAGGAGATGCACTTAACTTGAAGCCCCCATGATAGTATTATCCCAATCATATGAAAGTAATGAAACAGCCATTTTCTGACAATTCACAAAGTAGTTGTAGAAGGATAATACAGAAACATTCAGACATAATTTACAGTAGTTGTACAAGGGATAATTATCCTAATTCACCAGAAAACAAGCACAAGCATCTGGATCTCACATGCAAATTTGGATTGCATTCCAGGCTACTGGTCATAATATTTACTTGAAAATAGGATTAATCAGGAAGCTCCATAATTACCATTTAGGGGTATATAAACATTATTCTTCCCAATGAGACTAGGAATTTGTAAGTTTTAGGTCTTTCTTCCCGATGAGCAACGTAGCAGATAATGTAAGAGACAACAACCGATTCGAGAGAATGCTATGGATTATAAAAGCTAGGCAAATTTTAAAATTCCTAGTGCTATATCACCTTTCACTCTACAAAAGAAATCCCAGAATCTACTCAAACAATAGTTAACATTAATCTAACTTATTATGATTTATACAACTCATACTCTATACAATATCACATGACCTCTATTACAACCATAACTAAGTTCTATAGGCCATAGGGAGCTTGAACAAAATACTTGAAAAAATTAATAAAGAACCACACCAGAGATCTTAGATCTCAATAATATCTTTATAATAATCATAAAATTCTGCTTAAAAATTAAGGTAGGTACATTACCTGTGCACACCAAACATAATCAAAACAAGAACTAGGAATCTAGTAAATATAACATAAACTAACTAGCAAGCCTATGATAGAGAATAACTAAATAAGCTCCTACCAAATGAGAAATAATTAACCTACACTAATAATAGACCTATATTTTGATAGTTCCTAAATAAGCTACATACTCAATATTGTCAAATCACCTACTGAATGCACACAGATTAAGTAAAAAAGAGAGAAAAATAGAACAGAGAATTTTAACGTGGTTCATCAATGTGCCAACTCCATGAAGCTACCAGCAAAACTT